CTGATCCATGGGGACACCAAGCTTGAATACTTGGAGATCATCCCCCTCCTTAGCCTCTTTGCCAGAGTCAGAATCGGCTGAGTGCTCCACATCCGCGTCAGGTTGCGCTACCACCGCTACGACGTTCTCAGGAACGGCGTCCATGTCAACATACTCCTCTGCATCCGAGGCCGCGACATCATCTATCGCCACAGGGATCGCCACTGTGGAAGCGTTGGAACGGCCATAACTATTTGTTCCCTCCGAAGAACGGGACCTAGGGCTTGCCGCGGAAGAGGACCCGGCAGTAGAACCGGAAGAAGAGCCAAAACTAGTATCCGAATCGGAGGAGATCTCCATGGAGCAGGCCATGGGGAGGATTGCGAGAAGAAAGGGGGAAGAGTTGGATCAGAGAATTACCTTACGGAGCCTTGAAAGAGGGACGAACACGGAAACCAGGGACTCTCGCTGAACAACGCTGGGAAATTGGAAAGAAGAAGAGGATAGCAAACTCTAACCCTACCTGCGATTCCACTATTTATAAAGGGGAGGTGCCTCTTCAGTGGCCAACCCACGGATGACACGTGGCGAGGAGTGTACCCATGGACACGTGTCATGTTGGGACGGGCAGGTACGAAATGATTACTTTTGCATCAGAAGTTGAACCGGCCAGGATAACTGCCACCTAGAGCCCCGTGAATAACGGCGGGGAAGCAACCGTCACTTCGGGGGAAGGGGGACAGCGGCTCAAAGCGGTACGGCGGGAGCTAATTACTTCGTTATGTCCCGCGCACGCTCGGAACATCAGAAGTGGGGGACTTGTGTTGGGTTAATGGTCCGACACATGGTCGGGCCATCAACCCTTAAGGACCACCCAAGAGGAGGGTCAGGGCCCAAGGACCAGGGGACGTCGAACAGATGTGTAGTATTTTCTCTGTGGAACTATGCCTCACAAAGAACGTCGAACATGAGTACCTTCAGCTTCGTCTTCAGCTGAAGGCTCCCCCTACTGAGGAATATCATCATTGTGATCATCATCATTACCCACTGAACTATCACTCTCTTGCTCAGTAGTATCATACATCTCCTCGTCGTTGAGAGAAATGTTTGATGATACAGGGACTTCGTCTTCTAGAGTATGTTGTTTGCGGATTATTTGAGCACACTCATGAAACTCGTTTTCATGAAATACAACATCTCTGCTTCGTATAACTTTCTTCACTCCGGGATCCCACAACCGGTATCCAAATTCTTCATCTCCATAGCCGATGAAAATGCATGGGTTTGACTTGAGATCAAGCTTCTGTCTGAACTCCTTGGACACGTGTGCAAATGCCTTGCACCCAAACACTTTCAAGTGAGAGTAAGAAACATCTCTTTCTCACCATTTCTTCTTTGGCACTTCAAAGTTTAAAGGAACAGAAGGTGACCTATTGATAAGATAACAAGCTATCAGCACAGCTTCACACCAGAATGGCTTCAGTAATTTAGCCATACTCAACATGCAACGAACTTTCTCCACAATGGTCCGGTTCATTCTTTCAGCTACACCATTGTGTTGACCGTCTTCTCATGTCTAATTCCATATACGGCGCAATATGCTGAGAATTCCAGGGAAGTGTACTCTCCTCCATTGTTTGAACGTAGACACTTCAACTTCTTCCCCGTTCTCTTTCTACCATTGCATGAAATAGTTTAAAATGATCAAACACTTGATCCTTACTTTTCATACAATAAGCCCATACCTTTCGTGACGCATCATCAATGAATGTCACAAAATATCTGCTTCCTCTAAGTGACTCCTCTTCAAGGGGTCCACATACATCAGAGTGGACAAGACTGAGTAACTCTGAATGGTTCATCCTAGTAGAACTGAAGGAAACTCTGTGCTGTTTCCCGAATAAACAGTGCTCGCATGGATCTAGGGCAACACCTTTGCCCATGGAAATGACTTCCTTCTTTGCAAGAGTTTTCAATCCCTTCACGCTTAAGTGGCCTAACCTCCGGTGCCATAAGTTCGGTGATGTATCTTCTTCAACAACATTGAGACTTGGATGACACAACTTTGCATGAGTTTTATGAAGAGTACCACAAATATGTCCTCTTGCAACAATCAAGGAACCTTTAGATAACTTCCACGTAACTTCTTTGAATCGGTTAAGATATCCTTGCTGATCCAGATCTGTACCGGAGATAAGATTCAATTAAAGATCCGGAATGAGTCGAACATCTTTCAACACAAGTGCACATTCGACATTGGTTGTTATGTGCACATCACCAATGCCTACAATCTTCGAGAAACTGGTGTTTCACATCTTCACAACTCCAAAGTCTTCAGACTTATAAGATGTGAATAAGTTCTGGTGTGGAGTGGCGTGAAATGATGCGACAGTATTAACCACCCACTCAACATCATGAGTACCTATGTGTAAACATTCTTGTTCACCATGTGTAACAAGTAACACGTCTGATGACAAACTAACTATAGTCGCACCATCTTCTTGGCTAGTATTTTGACTCGCCTGTGGCTGCTCTCGTAGAAACTTTCTACAATCTCTTTTTATATGCCCATAATTACCATAGTAATTCCAATATCCTTCAAACCAAGTATTGTTTTCAAAGGACATACATCTCTATTGATCTGTCGTGGTGAACTTGAGAATTTCCTCTATTTTGACCTTGGTCTCTACCTCGCCCTCGACTTCTTCCTCCATTTCTGCCTCCCCTCATTTGTTAGTTTCTAATATGAGGGCATATGATTGTCCCGTCCCGGATTCCTTCCTTCGGGCTTCTTCATTCATCAGAGCATCTGTGACCATCTGCATAGTCACCTTCCCATTAGGAGCAGAATTACTGAGAGTGACAACAAGAGTCTGCTCTTGAGTAGAGAGGTCAAGAGTAATATCGCCTGCTCTTCATCTTTGAGAACCCATCCGGTGGTGCTCAACTGATTCACGAGATCCTGGAATTGACTGGTGTGTTCTGACAATGAAATACCACCTTGTAACTTGTGGTTTACTAATCGTCTCATTAGTAACGTCTTATTTCGGGCGGTTTTTGCTTGACACATGTTACCAAGCTTCTCCCATAATGTGTAAGTACTTTGTTCTTGAGCAACATGGTGGAACACACTATGATTGATCCATTGTTGAATTTGTGCGACAGTTTTTCGATTCATTTTTGTCCATTCTTCATCTGTCTTCTTATCCGGTTTGACGCCATTATTATCAAGAGGATCGACTAAATCCCTCAAATTTAGCAAATCCTCCATCCGAGACTTCCACATATTGTAGTTTGTGGAAGTGAGCGCAATCATGGTGTCTGATGATTTATCCATAATAAAAATGCTTAATTTATTTCGTACCTTATTTTCAAAGCCAAATTAAAAAAAAAAACGGAGCTCACCGTTGAATCCCGAATGGTCGAAAATGGTGGGAACCGGTCGGACCTCCTCCTAAACCGGTTGGGAAACGGGTGAACCGGCCTCAACAACTATGAACTGGTTCGGTCCGGTTCAGGCAGTAGCCCAGTGTGCAGACACAGTGCCAGTGACGTGGCAACAGCTGGGCTCTGTGTTGGCACTGTTGTGGCGCAACGTGGTAGCTGATGTGGCGGATGACGTGGCTTGGATAATTGACTCTCTTTCAGATGACGTGGTAGCTGACTTGAGCTGACTGGATGTGACATGGTGCTGACGTGGATGTCATGTGGCGATGACTCCCCTCCCCTTCGCTGGCGCGTGTCGGCGCGTGCGGCGACGTCCGACGGCCGTTCAGTCGCCAGAAAATGTCAGAATTTTCTCCCCGACGAGACAAAGCCGATGGTATGATCAGATCGTGATTCCGAGCAACTCGAAAAATCACAATTTTCTAACATGTAGAATTTTTTCTGAAAAATGATAAAAAAGTTTATGGAAACTCAACCTCGCTCTGATACCACTTGTTGGGATTGGAAAAATTTTCTATTCAATATCAAGAGCATAATTACAATAGGAGGGGAAAACTCTCACACTCAACTATTACAAAAAAACAATCTTCACCAATACACTTCTACACTCAGTGTATTTCACACTTCACACACTTTTCTCACTTTCTAAACTTATGACTATGAACAATGATACACTCTCTATTTATAGGTGTATATGGGAGACATGAGGAAGTTTCATCCAAGCTTCTATGCCATTTCCAGGGAGTTTCCTAGCTATTTCCAAGCAGTCTTCTCACATGTTTATATGTTGGAGACCTCCTTCCAAGAAGGTAATAGATGCCTCTTGGCAACTTCCAAGAAAGGAGGTGGAAGATCCCTACCACATTAAGTTAATAGAACCCATTTATATTTTATAAAACATATAGCACTTTGATATGGAATTTGCATGTACAAGACTCGTGAATAATGGGTACAGACACAATGATGTTGAAACAAAATTTGTATTTAACTTTTTGCATGTTTGAGAGACACTATGTCTTTTAACTTTTTGTGTGTTAGATATGCAAATTTTTAAAAGCTTTATAAAAATAAAAACTATAAGTTTGTAGCTTTTAACATTAATTAGTCCCAACAACTTGTTTACCAAACATAGCTAAATCAAACAGTTGACTTTTTATCAAAAAGTTACTATCTTTTTCTTTTAAAATCTTTTCAGTCATTAAAAGCTAACAGTTACTAAAAAGTGTATAAAAGTATTTATTCAGCTAGTTGTGGCAAACATACCCTAACTTGATAGTAGTCAAGAAAAGGGTATTCATTTTATTTTGGATAATACATATCATTAACTTAAACGTAGGTATATAAACTTGTATATATACCCAATTTTCTTTTAAAAATTCATAGACAAAACACACAAACTCATATCACATTTCCCCTTCTCAAATTTAGAATACGCAAATTATTTGAATCATAAAATCGTTGTTTATTGATGAGTGGAATTCCACCATATATACAATTACATGCTGCACAACTATTAGCTAAAGTTTAGCTAAAAATAAGGCCTAAATAAAACCTACATAACTGATGTACACGTATAGTATTATTTACAAGTTTAAATGGATAATTATGAAGGAGCTCCACATGTGTACGTCTCTCATGAGTTGTTGCATGTGTACGTGTTTAATAATAAAATACAACACTCAACACCCCCCCTCAAGATGGAGCATGAGGATCCATAATGCCCATCTTGCTAAGAAGATAATTAAATTGTTGTGCACCCAAAACTTTTGTAAAGATATCGGCTGGTTGTTCAGTAGTAGGTTTATATGATGGGGTAATAGTGACAGCCTAAATATGATCCCGAATAAAATAACAATCAAGTTCTATATGATTCGTCCTCTCATGAAAGACATGATTAGAGGCAATATGAATAGCTGCTTGATTGTCACAAAATAGGCGAATAGGTGAGGAGTGGAGAACACCTAAAGAAGATAATAAGCTTTTCAGCCAAATGAGCTCGCAAGTGAGTGCAACCATGGATCTATATCCGGCTTCAGCTGATGATCTAGAAACTGTTGCTTGTTTTTTGGTTCGCCAAGAGATAGGAGATGTTCCAAGCATCACAAAATAACGTGTAAGACATCTTCGGGTAACTGGGCAACTAGCCCAATAAGAATCACAATATCCTGTTAAAGAGAGATTGGGATCACTCCGAAGCAAAATTCCCTAGCCTGGATGTCCTTTGAGATAACGTAGGACACGATTAACCGCATCCCAATGAGCTACATGGGGTTGCTGCATAAATTGTGAAAGAACATGCACAGAATAACTGATATCCAGTCTAGTCAAAGTAAGATAAATAAGTTTTCCCACAAGCCTCCTGTTGAAATCCGTAAGATTTCAAGAAACAAGTCAGCTTTAAAAACCAACAATGCGGCACCTGACGTAGTCCATAAAGTGAACGAAGTAAGCGACACACCTTTCCCGGGGAAGAAGCAGAATACCCTGGTGGCAAGTACATATAGACTTCCTCCTGAAGATTACCATGTAAGAATGCGTTGTCAACATCCATCTGATGCAACTCCCAATATTGAGATGCCGCAACAGCCAAAATAGTACATACAATCACCATTTTGGCCACTGGTGCAAATGTTTCCGTGTAATCAACTCCTGCAACCTGCCTATTCCCACATGCCACAAGGCGTGCTTTGTATCGCTCTATTGTACCATCACATTTGTATTTAATCTTAAATACCCACTTGCAATAAATTGCTCGCTTACGAGGTGGAAGAGATTGAAGTTCCCATGTACATGTACGTTCAAGCGCCATGATCTCTCGTTGCATGGCTTCCCTCCACCTAGGATCATGTACTGCCTCTTGATAAGTGGATGGCTCTTTGGTCACAGAAAGGGCTGCAAGAAATGAATGGTGCGGAACCGAAAAATGATTATAATTTACAAAATGAGATAAGGGATAAGGATTACCTGTGGAAACCATCGGAGATGTGCAAGCAACGAGAGGAGTGTTTATTTTTACATTGTTGAGCTGATGTACCTGTACCTCATAGTCCTGATGCCAAGTAGGGACCCTCCGTTCGCGATCTCCTCTTCTAATCTGTGGCGGCGTTGCAGTAGATGAGCCCGTACCGGGAGATGTAGGGTGGTCATTAGCAGATAAATTGGTGTCGAGATGCCGCAACAGCCGTAAGATGTGCTTTCAGATAAATTGGAAGAGATTGAAGTTCCCATGTACATGTACGTTCAAGCGCCATGATCTCTTGGTGTGGTTTTGATCCCATGTCATGGAAGGAGAGGCCAATTTTGCATGTTGAATGTCAGTGGAATGCATTTGTGGTTGTACACCACATATATTCTGGTTGTTGGCATTATAGGGTATGGCTAGAGAATCTAACTTTCCCTGATCACTATCTTGTTTGTGTGGACTAGGACACTGCCCATCCATATCCAAAAATGGAAAGGAGGCCTCAATAAATTGCACGTCTCGAGAAACATAATGGCGTCCATTTTCCAAATCATAAACTTTCCAACCTTTCTGAGAGTAGGAGTAACTCAAAAATACACACCTCACACCTTTTGGAGCAAACTTATCACCATTTCTATCTTTATTATGAGCGTAACACAAACAACCAAATACACGCAATTGATCATATAAAGGCGATTTGTGATACAAAAGTTCATATGGACACTTATTATCAAGCAACGGAGAGGGTAGTCGATTTATTAAGTAACCCGCTGTTAGCACACACTCCCCAGAATTTAATAGGTAAGTGTGCATGAAATCGAAGTGTTCTAGCCATATCCAAAATATGCCTATGTTTGCGCTCAACCCTACCGTTTTGTTGTGGTGTGTACACACAAGTAGTCTGAAAAATAATCCCATTATTTAAAAAATAATTTTTCAGACTCAGAAATTCCAATCTGTTATCACTTCTTACCACTTTCACATACTTGTTAAATTGTCTCACCGTCATAACAAAAAATTGTTAAATTGTCACCCTTGTCTTTCAACAAATGAATCCATACAACTCGCGAAAAATCATCCACAATTGTTAAAAAATACGGGGCTCCACATGAAGCAAGTACGCTATAAGGACCCCACACGTCACAGAATCAATTCAATTCAAACGGTTCAATAGCACGAGCAGAATTAATAGGAAACACATCATGAGTTTGTTGACCACGTAAACAAGCATCACAATTTTTATTCAGTCCAAGTGAAGAAAAATATTTATTCAAACTAGGAATGGAACACAACACTTTCATAGAAGGATGCCCTAACCGTGAATGCCACAAATCAATTGAATCCACACTCTTGACTTGGTGAGCTTGAACCTCGTCGAAACTATGAAAATAATAAACTCCCCCATGTTGTTTACCCATTCCAATCAGCATCCTCGAAAGTTGGTCCTGTATCACACAAATGTCATTACTAAAAAATATATCACATTTCGGATTATCTACCAATCGTGCTATTGAAATTAAGTTACACTTCAACCGAGGGACTAGTAACACATTTCTTATTAATACTGTGGAGCTTAACCACACATCACCCATATGCGTCGCATGAGTGATTTCATCGTTGGGTAATGTCACTGGTATGTGTACCAACTTTTCAGCATTCCTCATGAGTCGCACATTTCCTGTCATATGGTATGATGCTCCAGAGTCTAAAATCCACTCAAGTTTTGTTCCCATACTCGGAAAGTTTGAGTTCGTTAGGAAATATGGAGACGAGGGGTCCGTCACTTTCCGCCATCCCTGGTCGAAATTAAGTCGTCGCACATCGTTAGATGAGCTTGTCATTTTGGTTGCCATCTTCGTGAGTATATAAGACAGTTTCAAGGATCGTTTCACTGCTCTGATACCATCTCAAATTTAGAACACACAAATTATTTGGATCGTAAAATCGTTGTTTATTGATGAGTGGAATTCCACCATATATACAATTACATGCTGCACAACTACTAGTTAATGTTTAGCTAAAAGTAAGGCCTAGATCAAACATACGTAAGTGATGTACACGTATAGTATTATTTACAAGTTTAAATGGATAATTATGAAGGAGCTCCACATGTGTACGTCTCTCATGAGTTGGTGCATGTGTACGTGTTTAATAATAAAATACAACACTCAACACCCCTCACTAAAAAAACTACGTAGTAATACTTTAATAGAGGAAATGAGATGGAACCCATTATTAATTAAAAATGTGCCGGTTAGGTGTTTAACATATATTAAGCATAAACAAATCCAATACATGTAGCATAGTATTAGTTAGTTACTCTAACTAAACAGTGTCAGTTCTCTCTAGATAAGTCCGGCCTCTATGTTGCATGAATAGACAGATGTATCTGGATAGTCATAATTCATAGTTCATACAATTCCTCGCCAAACAATAGCCATTTAGACCATTTGTAGTGATTTGAGATTCGGAATCAAAAGATTAAAAATGGAGATTTTGGACTCATAAATTGGTATAGTGGTGGAGTAAAAGGGGATAAAAGTGGAATAAGGGATGGAGGGGTGTAAAAGCAATGTTCTAAAAGGCGTAAGGCGTGTCGAGGCGGCACGACCAAGCCTCAAGCCTTTGAAGCCTAGGCGAGTTTAGGCGGGACGTAAGCATGAAAAGGCGTTTTGGTTTTTCATTACAATTTTAATTTTATTACCGCCATTAATTAAAATTTAAATTTAGTATGCCATAAATTCATGAAGAACATAAATTTCATTAAAATTTAAACTCAGTATCCAGTAAAAGAAGATTTCTAATGGTATAAGAATACTATTTTTAATTGAATTGAAACTCTCTATTCTTATTTAATTTGATCTAAACTTGTTTGGGCCGGTTGATTCTTCCATATGCTTGCTTATATGTATTTTAAAACTACCAACTTTGGTATGATCTTATTTAGTCTCACCTGATCTGTTTAAGTCTAGTCTGGTCTAATCGGTCTAATCTGATCAGAGACAGAAATCAATCTGATTAAAATTTTCCAAAATTAGATTTGGAAAAATTGTTGAGTCATAAAAGTGATAATAATACAAGAAAAATATAGTACTATCTACTACATAATACAAAGTTAGTATAACAACAACTACAACGACAACAACAATAATAATTATTATAATAATAGTTACAATAATTTTAGTAATTATTTAGCTTGTACTGTACGGAGTAATATCTACGGAGCAACATACAAGGCTTTTCTTTGGTTACATGTTACCCACACCGGAGGAATTGAGTAATTTGACCAACCACTTGACCTATATATAGAGTGCTCCACTATTGAAGTAGCATATGGCATACAGCTGAAGCTGATGCGGGCTTAATCAAATCGGCCTTGGGCTATCTCAAAGGACTTGGTATTTTGAAATGGTTGAATTTTGGTGTTGGATTATATTGGGCTGCCTTTTAGCCCGCCTAATAGGCATGCGAGCTGTTTGTAGTACGCCTTGCGCCTAGGCCCGCCTTTGCGGTGCCTTTGGTTGCCTTTTAGAACACTGTGTAAAGGTAGAGGGTGAGATTGACATGGGAAAAGAAAAAGAAAAAAAGAAAAGAAAAGAGAAGGAAGACCGTGGTCAACTAAGATCCTGCATTCCGATGATGTCAACATGACGTCACACAAGCATTATTAAAATTCCAAATTAATTTAAACTCTTATAACTTTTTTATTTGTTTTCCAAATATTTCAAAAAATATATCAAAATTCATTAAATGTTATGATCTTTCATATGACACCAATATGTAATATATAAAAATTAAATGCTCCAATGTGCTATGGCTAGACACACAACTTGAGAAGAGAATTCAATGCTTTAATGTGCTTGAACTCAGTTTGTTAATCGAAAAACATAAAACAAAATAATCTTTTTACATCGAAATATGTATTTTTTATTTTATAATTATTCAAGGAAAAAATTAAAAGTAAAACATTACTTATACTAATTTAATTAATATTTTACTAAATTGATATGTAAAAAAATATGCAGAGTGTATTTTATTGACGGTGCACGGATGCGGGAAAAAACAGTATTGATGGAATCTAAACACTGTTTTCATATGAACGGAGTCCAAATTTAACAATTTGGACTCTTGACCACTACAAATGGTCTTAGAAGTACATAAGCTGAAAACACATGTTACCATGCATGCTCCAACAAAAGAATGCCTAGAGGAATTTATAATTTATTTTGTATTATAAAATCATACTCGTATAATATTTGTAGAAAAAGAAGATAACCCAGTTATACTCAATACATTATCTCAATTACAGTCTTATTCACCACTCTCGCTTATTTTCAGCTACTCTTACTACTTATAATTAATATTATTATTAATTATTGCGTGGTAATAATATTCATAATAATATAAGTACAAAAATAAAAGTCTTAAGATAAATTTAATAAGTTGAGAGTTGTTAAGATAAAATAGAATGTATTTTGTAGAATGAAATATAAAATATAACATAAATTTTAATTGTTGTAAATTAATCTGGGATTTTAAGTTTTTTATTATTATTAAGGCTAAAAGGTCAAATAAGTCCTTGTACATGTCGAGTTGGCTTAATTTGGCTCCTGAACTAAAAAAATCCAATTCACACTCTGAACTAGAAACAAATGGTTCAAATTTCATTTTTTATGGGTCTACCTCCGGTCACCCGCCATGTCACCAGTTAGGTTACCAACTTCACAAACCGAGCTTATTTTGGTCAGCTATGTTATTTTGATCCGGTCTAAATCAGGTTTTCCCGAGTCGTTCAGTTTTCATTGCAGCCTTTAGAGACAATTTTACGCCCGGGTCACTTTTTTCAAATAAAATCCAAATGGGTCCGCCCAGGATGGGTTCTAAACTTTTTTTAGCTAGTTTAATTTATTGTATGTCTTATTCATAAATATAAAAGTGAGTAAGTTATAGATCTTAATAACAACAACACAACATTAATTACATTAATAGCTATAATAATACATGCAAAACCGTTATAATAATTAGCTAGCATTAAACGTAATAAATGCGTCATTTATCGTCATGGTCAAGCCTCTTGAATGTAGAATAAGCTATCAAATTCCTGCGCCAGCAATTGTCCCCTTTCGAGAAGTTGAGGCATATCATGCATATGTCGACCTATTAAGTAACAACTTGTCGAAAAATTGAAAGAGTTTACACTTCGCATTTTAGTTCATTGCATCTATTGGATCGTCAGTGAGTTGACGTGACGTATTGATCAACTTGTCTCACAAAATGCTTCCGTCTTTCTTTCGAATAACTTCTAATCGAATCCGTGTCTTTGACAAAAACAATGACGACTGAAAACTGATATTTTATCTTCTTCCCAACAAAATTGTGCTGACGACTAGATGACAGAAATTTTCAACATCTTTCATGTCGATGTCGGCACTTTAGCTAACAAAGGGAATATCGTCCGTCACTGAATATGACGAGTTGGGTTGCATGAACGTGGTCCATATCCTGCAAAAACTTTGAATAATGTTTCGTTTGTGTTTTAGCAATATTCTCGACATGAGTGTTTGTGATTTATGTCGATGTCGTTCTTATTGTCTCCTTATGTTTTGGAGCTTTTGTTGTTATGCTCTTGTAGCACATGCTTCTGTTGTGTATTTCTGTAGTTTTAGATGTGGTTGTTGCTCCATATGGTGATGTCAATTGTATGTGTGTTGTTGTTTTGGCCAAGACTTGCTAGGCCCATGGGTCTGTGCTTCATATTTGATTTATGAAGGACCCAGGTTAGCCATGATGTCCACGTTGATGTGACCGGGGTGCGTGGATAGCTCTTTTCATTATCCACCTTTAGAAGCAACCAAACTAACCCACCCTCACCCCCACCTAGGGTTGTAAACGAATCAAATCGAACCGAATAGTGACTAATATTATTCGTATAAATTGACGAATATTGGTATTCGTATTCGGATATTATTTGAATCTTACAATAGATTCATATTCGATTCGTTTATTGTATTTGAGTATATTCATATTCGAATATTTGAATTCGAATTCAAATATTCGAATTCGAATTCAAATATTCGAATTCGAATATTCGAATTCCAATTCAAATATTTGAAGTGTAAAAAAAAATTCACCTATTCATATTATGACTCATTTTAGGCATTTTTCGATTTTCCCAAATGTCTATTAAATGAATTATTTCAAAAATTCAATTACTTCAACACTCAATTGCTAAAGAAACACACACAAATAAAGTAAACAAAGTTGATTCAATTACATAAACCTAGAATACGTATTACCTATTTTATATTTAATTTTGAGTAATTATATAAATTATAAATATAATAGAATATATATTTATAATTCGTAAATATACAAATCGAATATATTCGAATAACTTACGAATCGAATATATGTATATTCGTATTCGAATGTTATTCGAATAATAAAATTGATTCGTATTCGAATTCGTATTCGAATATTTCAAATTCGAATCATCAATTTCGAATTCGAATCGCGAATCGGATCAAAATTATTCGATTCGTTTACAACCCTACCCCCACCCCAATCTAGATAATCTGGCTCGCCCAGCGCGATTTGCAACATTTTAGACTTTTAGTAATGTCATGAAAAGTTTGCTTCATTGTAAAAACTGGACTCCTTTTTTGGGGACGTGGGTTGTGTTACTCTCAGGTAAGTTTACTTGAGAGATATTCTTGGATTTTCAGGTGGCTGTTGCTTTAGAAAAGGCTGCCCTTTTGGATGAGAATTTTGTTAAGAGAAAGCTGTATCCAAATGTGGACTTTTATTCTGGGTTAATCTATAGGTGCATTTGAATGCTTCTTGAAATACTTGATTCTACATTATAATACAATATTATGGATTCACCTTCGGTAACTAAATCATTGCTGTTATGCATCAGGGCTATGGGATT